ACGCATGTACCGTTCCATCTCCTCCAACCGGGCTTTTGTGGCAGCATCTGCTTTCCGCTGCTCCTCCCATCGCCGTTCGTGCTCCTCTAGTTCACGCTGCATTGTGGCAATACGGGGATCTTCTCCCCGCCTTGACCGAGAAGAGGAAGCGCCGGTGCTTCGATCATACAAAATCCGTTGCCCCTCAGCCCCCAAGCACGGAACCCGGCCCTTGTAAACCCCGGCCGCCTCAATGGCCGCCTCATCATCCGCATCGGAATCGAGGTCGTCCTCCTGGGTCAAGCCTCGTGCCGCACGCTGCCTGTCGAGGGATTCGTTGTACTTCGTCTGCATTTTCAAAAAGATTTTTTAAATGCTACATACTTAGATTTGAAATGTTACTAAATAACAAAATATGATGTTACATACTTCGAAGTCGGCGAGGCGGGGTGGCAAATCGGCTTCAGATTCCTCGCCGTGCTTCGTCCAGCAATGCTTGACGAGCCGGAGAACATCAACCTTCTTCTTCTCAGGACCAGCCTAAATGGTGTGAAAAAGACTTAAATTAAATTTTTTTATAATGAAGGAATGTGATGTTGTAAGGTTTTTTGAATAGCACTTACAAGAGTTTCTTTATGGGCATTCTGAGATTTACGACCTTCGTGCCACTGCATCTCCAAGGCCTTCTCGGACATCCGGTTTTTCTTACCGGATTCACTTCTGGCCAAGAATTTCGGATCAGAAGACCAGTGGCGACAAAGGCTGGACCACACTTCATCCGAAACCCATCTAGGCTTTTTCCCACTTTTTCGCGCACGTTTAAAAGTGGCGCGAAGCCAGGTCGAAATCCTAGCATTGTAGGCTTTAAGAATATCGGCACCGTGTGCGTGAGTCCAACGATAGCGAGCCTTTATTAAAACAAATTGGATTAATTAATCACCAGGTATATATTAGGCCAATACAATCAGGAAGGGAACATTCATTTATTTTTACCTTGAACAGGTTCCACCATAGTTCGCGAACCTTGGGGTCAACATCTGACAGTGTGGCCCAAGTGCCAAGAAAGTGTCCTCCGATGATGTTTTTGATGCTCGTGAACACTTGTTCGTCACTTAAAAAAATTAATAGTATTTATTTATATAAGATTTGGTTTGATTATTTAACATTATATAAAATTATTGAAAATAAGGTTTTTCATAACTACTTACAAAAGAACTTCTGCAGGCGTCACCCAAACAGCTCCATCATTGTTGCGCTCCGCTTCGGACATAGGCGCATAGTTAGGGCGGGGAGCCGAGGTCGATTGTTCGTTGCTCATCTAAAATATATTAATTTATTTTGTTTTTTGTTAGAACGCTTATAAAAGTTTGAGGTGTGCTTACTAAAGGTCCATTAAAGTTTGGGGTATATTTATTATTTTTTACTATAAAAATTTATACAAGTATTATTAATTGAAAATGTGTATAGCATATTAAACTATTTTTAGTTTAATATGAGGGGTCCATATTTTTTCATAATAAGTTCTTAAATAATTTGGTAATAAATTGCACTTGGAGGTAACATGTTAAACTTTTTGCAAAGTTTACATGAGAGGAGATCATTTTTTTATGTTTTAGATATATCATTTTAAAATAAATTTAAAACAGTTTGTTAAATCAAGTTTTACAAAAAACTATTTTTAAAAATAATCTGTTTAATAAAAGAGTTTTTAAAACAGTTCTTATTAAAACAGTTTTTATTAAAACAGTTTTTATAAAAACAGTTATTATAAATACAGTTTTTATAAAAACACTTTATATTAAAACAGTTTTTATAAATACTGTTTTTTAATAAATACAGTTATTATAAATACAGTTTTTATAAAAACAGTTATTATAAATACAGTTTTTATAAATACTGTTTTACAAAAATCTGTTTAATAAAACATTTTATATAAAACAGTTTGTATATATCAATTTTTGTAAAACCGGTTTTTTTAGATAAATTATAAAAACAGTTTATATTAAAACAGTTTGTATAAAAACAGTTTTTATTAAAAACAGTTTTTATAAAAACAGTTTTTATTAGATTAATTATAAAAACAGTTTATATAAAAACAGTTTGTATAAAAACAGTTTTTATAAACACAGTTTTAATAAAAACAGTTTTCATAAAAACACTTTTTATTAAAACAGTTTTTATAAAAACTGTTTTTTACAAAAATCTGTTTAATAAAACATTTTATATAAAACAGTTTATATATATCAATTTTTGTAAAAACAGTTTTTTTAGATAAATTATAAAAACAGTTTATATTAAAACAGTTTGTATAAAAACAGTTTTTATAAAAAACAGTTTTTATAAAAACAGTTTTTATTAGATTAATTATAAAAACAGTTTATGTAAAAACAGTTTGTATAAAAACAGTTTTTATAAACACAGTTTTTATAAAAACACTTTTTATTAAAACAGTTTTTACAAAAATTTGTTTTTGTAAAATTTGTTTTTATAAAATTTGTTTATAAAAATTTGTAAAATTAGAATTAAACATGTTAAGTTTGTGAAAGCTTAACATGAGGGGGCAATTTTTTTTTAAATATTTCGGGTTAACCATTGAGAGGCATGCATATCACACACTAATCATATATATTAAATATTATTAATCATGCATAAGAACATATATTACACATATAATAATTTAAATCATTTAAACATAATTATCATGCATACAAAACATATAAATCATACCATGCATATGAAACATATAAACTAAAACAGTGTTTTGCCTAGTTTTTTTTTGCTTATACTATTATAAATAATTTTTTTTGCTTATACTATTATAAAAACAGTTTTTTGTCTAGTTTTTTTCGGGATTAAATTTAAATGTTTAATACATATGTATAGAGAGTCATGCAAAATCAAACACTAAACATATATGTTAAACATGAAACTAATTGTATAAGCACGCATTAATTCGAAAATATGTTAATCATGCATATGAACATATATTAAACATAAAATAATCTACATTTGAACATATATTAATCATGCATACGAAACATATAAAATGAAATTAACATGCAAAACTACAAATCATGCATATAATAAATCATACATATAACTTTTGAAGATTACAAAATGATATAAAACTAAAATTCGTGCATCTTATCATGCATTTGAGTATACAATCATGCATTTTTGGAATTTTAATCAAATATTACAAAATAAGATGAACAAACACATAACCTTGACTGAAGAAGGGCCGACGGAAGAACGTGGACGAAGGCGGCCGGAGGACGACGGCGGACGGCTAGGCGTTGACGGCGGCAGCTAGGCGGCGACGGCGGACAGCTAGGCGGCTGACGGCGGACGGCTAGGCGGCGGCGGCACTGTCTAAACTGGAAGAGAGGGAAGAGAGAAGGAAGAGGAAGTTAGGGTTTGGGAGTTGGGTGCGTAGGTTTTTAAAAAAAACGCCAAGTGTTTATTTTATATAAGGGTTTAGTCACGGTCATAGTCACGGTCCGGACCGTGACTAAACCCTTCGTAATTGACGATGTCAGCGCCGACGGTCAGAGACGCCTTTAATCGGAATAGTCACGGTCAGAACCGTGACTACGACCGTGACTATTTTCAAATTTTGAAAATAGTCACGGTCATAGTCACGGTCATAGTCACGGTTCTGACCGTGACTATTATTGTCAGCGCCTCTCTGACCGGCGGACTGACTTTGGCATTTACGAAGGGTTTAGTCACGGTCCTGACCGTGACTAAAACCGTGACAACTTGAAATTTTTTAGTATAAATCATCTTTCTCCGGCCCAAGACTGAACTGTAAAAAAAAATGGCTAATAGAGATCCAATTGACTGGGATTCGATGTGTAGAGGTATGATACGACTTAAGCTGATTACAGAGCTTATGGAGCCGAAAACCGTGGAAGCATACGAGAGAATCAAGGAGTTGATGTCTAGACCCCTTGAAAGTTTTGGCGATTATAAAGATGAAGAATCCGACTCGTTGGGCAAGTCAAAAGCAAGAAATTTGTGTCGGATGCTTCAACGTGCACAAGAAGTTTCAGAGTATATGGACCCGATCAACGAAGAAGCTCGAATGAAAATTCAGGAGTTGTGGGCTAGGCCTCTTGAAAGTTTCCGATTGAGGAATGAATAATGTTAGTTAGGCTAATGTGATAAATAAATCTATGTTAGTTGTTTAATAAATAATATGTGACAATTTCATTGTGTGTTTTGTATTTATCTTTGAAATTTGATAAATAAATATCTGTTAGTTGTTTATTAATATCTAAATTTATTATAATATTCATATTAGTAAAAGTAGATTACTGTTTTTTTAATTTTCGAATTTTGTTAATTTTCGAATAGACTTAGAATTATTAAAATTAATTTTCGAATTTCGAATTATTAAAAATTATTAAAATAAATTTTCGAATTTAGAAAAATCAAAAATAATATTTGAATTTTCGAATTTGAAAATAAAAGAATATAATATAGAGTAATTTCATATTTTGTATTGGGTAAATTTTAATTTTCAAACTTCGAATTGTGAAAAATTTTATTTTGAATTTATGATATGGATATAAAAAACTTGTTGTGGTTGAAGTAATATGGAGTAATTTTTTGTTCATAATAAATAATGATAAAGATAGAAAAAAATTCAAATATTGTTGGAGTAATATAATGATGAAGAAATCTGCACAAATATTAGAAGTCAATAAAATTGAAATTACAACAGCACAATTATTCGCTATCAGAATCGTCATTTTCTACATATACAGTATCTTCTTCTGTATCTGAACCGTCTATCCATTCACCTTCTTCCTGATATTGAGCATTTTGTTGTGCTACATACATTTCCTCAATTTCGCGCTCAGATGGAATGGTTGGGTCCGGAAGGTGCGTTTCTGGCATGACTTCAACACGTCCGCCATTTGGATCACTTAATTGGACGTTATAGTTGACCGTCTCAACAATAGGCGGAGGTTGGAAAAATTGTTGCTGAAAAGCATCTAGATCAACGTCTTTGTGTTGAGTTTGTGATTTTATTTTGTTCGGACGGACAGGACATGCACACACCCAAGGATTCTGTGTCCGCCTTGTTGAAGGATATTCTGCATAATAAATCTGCGCTGCTTGTTGGGCGAGTATGAAAGGCTCATTTTTTGGGTACACACGAGAGAGGTTGACGTCAATCATATTATACTTCGGATTTTTGCGCACGCCACGTGTGGGGTCGACCCATGTGCAACGGAACAGAACGCATGTCAATTTTTTCGCACAAGAAGGCATCTCAAGTTCCAGAATCTCCTGCAGGACACCAAAAAATTTGGTTTCCGAGTTATCATAACCGATGGTCGGGACACATAACCCGCTGTTCGTTGTTGGTCGGCCCTCTCCGTAATCGGCTGTGTGATATGTGTAACCGTTTATCACATATTGCCGCCACACTTTGGCACTGGCACCTGGACCCCACGCTAATGATACTAACAAAGGGTCGACAATCCCACGACTATTGATCTGTAAATATAAACATAATAATAACATTAGGTAAACATTAGGTAATATATATATTTAATGTGTGTGTATATATACCTGATACTTGTACCAATTTACAAAATCAGAGTCCACCAACGCATCAATTTCATTCTCAGGAAAGGCTGATAAAGAAGCTCGGAATTCACTGTGAAGTCAAAAAAAAAAAAACTATAAATTAACTACTTTAATGTATAAGTATTACAATTATAACTACAAATTTAACTTACTGATAAAACGGTGAGATTTCTGGACAATTCATGAGGATATAAGTATGCGCAATTTGCAATTCCCCACCCAGGATGTATCGTTGTGTCGCAGCACCTTTACCTCTGCCTGGGTAATTGAAGATGGAAACTAGATTTTCATATAAATCCTCGCCAATGTCATCGTTCCGGGCAGGTCTCTTCCTTCTGGTGATGACGTCACGCTCGAAGTAAAAAGACGAGAACGTTGAGATTTCTTGTTGAAGATACGCTTGACAAATTGAAGCCTCAACGTGTGCCTTGTTGGTCACTTTCTTTTTCAGCTCTCCTAGAAATCTGCAATAATGCAATAATACACATGTTAATAGTTATTGTGAAATAAATATTCTTTGGACGAAATGAAATTGTGACTAACCTTTCAAATCTGTACATCCACCGATAGAAGACGGGCCCAGCAGTCAAAGCCTCATACGGAAGATGTATAATGAGATGTTCCATTGTATCGAAAAACGATGGTGGCATTATTTTTTCCAGATTACACATCAGAATGGGAACAGACTCTTGTAGTCTCCGGAGGGATGCCGCATCCAAAACGCTGGAACATATCGATTGAAACAACAAACTGATTTCAGTAATGCAGGACCATACGTGTTCAGGGAGCATCTCTTTTAGTGCAATTGGTAGAAGTCTTTGCATTATTACATGAGCATCGTGAGTTTTCATGCTCGTCGTCGTGGTAAGTTTGTTCATGTCTACGCATCTAGACAAGTTGGAGCAGTAGCCATCTGGAAACTTCTGAGACGCAAGCCATTTTAATATTGCTGCCTTTTGTGGTTCTGTGACCTGGTAGACTGCTTTTGGAACTTCCTTGCCCTGATATTCTAGATCAACAGAAAGTTCGGGTCTATCACACCAAATAGTCATATCTTTCCTAGCTGCAAGACCGTCTTTAGTTTTGCCTTTCAAATCCATCACCGTGTTAAATATATTGTCAAAGACGTTCTTCTCGGTGTGCATGACATCTAAATTGTGACGGATGAGAAGGTTTTTCCAATAAGGCAACTCCCAGAATATGCTCCTCTTTGTCCACTTATGGGTATCACAATACCCATATGGCTCTTGGTTTGGCTCTTCCATAGCCGTAGGGAAACGTCGAACCCGGTTATAAATTTCTTCACCGGTCAATCTCGGGGGTGGGCTCTCTCGAACCGCTCTGCCTCTAATGAAAGACTTCTTGTCCTTTCGATATCGGTGCCTTTCCGGGAGAAACTTGCGGTGACAATCAAAGTAACTTCCTTTTTTGCTGTAACTGAGCCAGTTGGCACCTGATTTCTCCATGCATATCGGACATCCCATCAGACCGTGTGTGCTCCATCCCGAAAGCATGCCATAGGCAGGGAAGTCGCTAATGGTCCAAATGATGGCAGCTTTCATGATAAACATTTTATCTGATGAAACATCATAAGTTGGTGTCCCAACGGCCCACAGTTCTTTCATCTCCTCGATAAGGGGTTGGAGATAAATGTCTATCTTTCGCCCAGGATCCTTGGAACCCGGACAAATTAAAGACAAAAAGATGAAATGACTTTTCATGCACATGTCGGGAGGGAGATTGTAAGGTGTTAACATGACCGGCCAACATGAATAGTTCTTGCCAAACCTGCCAAAAGGAGCAAATCCATCTGAGCACAATCCCAGCCGCACATTTCGTGGCTCCATAGCAAACTGAGGATGACAGCGGTCAAAGTGTCTCCAGGCTTCACAGTCTGAAGGGTGAGCCATCATACCCTCGTTGGTTTCGTGCTCAACATGCCATGTCATGTGTTTCGCAGTAGCAGTCGAGGCGTACATCCTTTGCAGTCGAGGAGCTATTGGGAGGTAATACAGTTTAGACAGTGCAGACCTATGTCGTGGTTTCTTTTTATTTTGACGAACAGGTTTGTATCTGTCTCCACCACAGAACTTGCAGAACTCAAGTGCCTCATCCTCCTTCCAGAACAACATACATCCTTCCGGGCACACATCAATTTCAACACAAGGTAGCCCCAACTTAGACATTAACTGCTTCATGTGGTAATATGAATCGGGAAGGGTATGATCTCGCGGTAGCATCCCTCCTACTGACTGCAAGACTCTATTCATGCAAGTTTCAGGGAGACTGTATTCGGCTTTTATGTTCATGAACTCAGTAACAGCGGATAGCTGAGAGTATCCCTCACAATCAGCATACAGAGGTTGGTCGACAGCTTTTAGAACATCCTGAAATCTCTCAGCCAAACCTTCATCCACATAAGGTTGATAAAATGTCGGATTTTCATCCGCATCTGGTTGATACGAGGTTGAGGCTTCAGGGGGGTCGTTAGGTGGTTGTGGGGGGTTGAATTGAGACGGTACACCGTATGCGTCATATACCATTTGTTGGTCCCACCTCATTTCAGCACGGTCTCCCCACGCACTCATCTCTGGAGGGACGTAACGAGACGAACCTACCGTTTGTGGTATAACAGATGGATCCAAAGGTTCGCCGTGAGAAGTCCAATTATAATAATTGGGAACAAAACCGACCGCGTACAAATCATACCCAACTTCGTGTGGGTCTTTAAATTTGAGATTTTTACACTTTGAACATGGACATCTTATTTTATCACCACTCATATAAGCCGGATGTTCAAGTGGAAATTCAATAAATTCCCCGACTCCCTCGAGAAAATTTAATTGCATTCCGTACAATACCGCATCTTTATCATACATCCAACTTCTATTTTGTTTATACATTATGCCTGAATATTATAATAAAAAATTAGATGAAATGCAATGCACACAATTTTAAGTAATTTATTTCACTAAATATAATCAACTAATTTTCACTTTTTTTAAATGAAATGCACAGAATTCACAACAATAATGCACAAAATATATGTCCCCTAATGCACAATAATGCAGATAATTTCACTAAATTAAACATACGTTTAATTAAATCTAACTAATTCATTTAGTTAATTTTATACAAATTTAACTAGTTCATTCCGTCCCCTTTTAATGCATCACTACGTTTAAACTTACGTTTAGCTACCTAATTTAACTTAATTAACACATCAATAGCTACGTTCAAACCTACGTTTAGCAAACGAATTTTAATTAAATTATTTTTGTAAACCTACGTTTAAACCTACACTAAATTATTACGTTAATGACATTTAATCTTATTAGTAATACACAATTAACAATTCACTAAATTAAATAATATGACCAAATTCAACCCAATAATTTGAACATGTATATAAAGTTATTTGAATTAATTTACAATACACAATTCACAATAACAATTCACAATTCACTTAATTAACACATTACTAACGTACGTTATTTGAACTAATTTCACTAAACATAAACATCATTACGTTTTAAACCACATTTATCTAACTAATTTTAATTAAATTATTTTAATTTATAAACCTAAAAGTTTAACTAATTCTAATTTATGACATTACTACGCTTATAGTTAAAACATGTTGTTAATTAATTAACAACCTCACTAATTTAATAGTTTTAATAATTTAAATTGAACCAACTAATTCTAAATAAAAATTATAATTCAAATAACATACCTTATCTGCATAAACAGGGAAAATGATAGAAAGATAGACTACATCCTTCGATCTACGGATACTGTATATACTGGGAATGAATTGGTGTGGTTCTGTTGAATGAATGAGCTGCTCCTGCATATATAAAAAATTTAGTCACGGACTTAGTCACGGATTTGTCCGTCACTAAGCAAAACCGTGTCCAACACGCGTCCAACACGTGTTAATTACGTGTAAATGACGTGTTAATCAACATAGTCACGGAACTAGTCACGGATATGGCCGTGACTACAATTATCCGTACATAATGCCGTTGCGAATTAACTAAGGGAGTTGAAAAAAATTAAATTTTAATTATAGTCACGGGCATAGTCACGGATTTGGCCGTGACTATGTCGTCGGAATCAAATAAACTTCGCCGGAAACGGAAATGGGCCTATCGGAGGAATTAAGTCACGGTCCACGACCGTGACTAACATTAGTCACGGTCATAGTCACGGTCCTGACCGTGACTATTTTTTTTTTAAAATTTCCGTGACTAGTCCGTGACTAGACCGTGACTAAACTAGTCACGGTCGATATCCGTGACTAAAATCCGTGACTATAACGCTGTTTTTTTGTAGTGATGGTGCAACCGGAGGGTCATGTAGTTATTGGTCAGGAACACAAAGTGTGTAAGTTGATCAGATCTTTATATGGTTTGAAACAAGCTCCAAAACAATGGAATGAAAAATTTGATGAAGTGTTATTTGCTCATGGTTTTACCTCCCTAGAAGTAGATAAGTGTGTATACACTTGTTGAGGTTTATTCCCGAAGATCCGAAAGCCCAACACAAGCCTTGGATATTGTAGGGATATTGGGTAGGGTTGAAAATGTGTATAAAATATAAAATGGTGAGATAATATCCAACTCAAGAACTTACTTATATTCAGTAATTAAGCAATTACACTGAAACTACCCGAACGGTAGCTGAATATGAGATTACAAGGATGGGAGATGTAAATCTATTGCTTGAGCTCTGAGTATTAAAATGCTAACCCTTTACAATGATCTAAACATGGATATTTATACTAAAATGGGGATGGGTAAGGTGGACACGTGGTCGAATCTGGTAGGCTATCACCTCTGCCATGTAAGCACCCATGCCCCCACTTGCTGCTGCCATGATCCAGCATTAAATGCGGCTTCCACTTGATGATTGCCCGTTCGGGCAGGGTGTTCGGTGTGTGGGACCCCGTCATAGGTGTTATCCTGCTTAGGAATATATCCCGAACGCCGATCGGTATCTCCGCCATAGGTGATCTAGTTAATGGAAGTGTCCCGAACGCCGATCGATACATGGCCTTGATGATTTGGCATAATTGTTTCCCGGAATGTTCCAAGTATAAATTTTATCCCGAATGCCGTTCGAGAGTTCTTTTGGACTGCCTTGGGCCCGCTGTTTCTTCCTGGATTTGGGCCTAGGGATATTGGGCCTGGACCCAATATCCCAACACTAGTCCCCCACTTCCTATGTCTCGAACGGTAGTGAGTGCATAAGGAAGTAGAAAATTATTGCCCGAATGCTGTTCGGGTGAATATCGGATGGCATTCCGCCGGTTCCCGAGGCATATTTTGACGGTTATTTGCAACTGCCGTTTCACTTCTCCGATAAACGCCATGATTACCTGAGAAGGATTCTCTGTGTGACACGTGTCTCTGTCATCATTACAAGAAACGTGTCCTCTTCTGATTGGCAGCTGAATCGGCGTGGCAGAGTATAAATAGGCTCCTCTGGTTTTGATTCTGGGTTTCGAAACTTTGCATCTCCGGCTTAGCACTCTGCCTTCTCTCTAGAGCTTCTTCCGCTGCTTCTGTTCAGGTATCCTTCGAACTTCCTTCTACTGTTTAGTTCCCTCGTTCGGTGAGAATGGCACCCCTTCGTTCATCTGAACCCTCTACTCCCGGTACCGCAATCCCAGAGGAAAACCCCAACGATGTGCTGCAAGTCGTCCCTATTCCGGCGGAAGTTAACGGTGATGATTCCTCTTCCTCCTCCGACGTTTACCCTGATGGCACCAAATCGGGGGATGAATTGGAAGTTATGAACGCCGGTCCTCCAAGCGGCGTTTCCTGCCATAAGCTTGACCTAGCCCTGATTAGGCTTAGGCGCCAAAAGCTCACGGCCCAGAACCGGGCCCAAATCCA